ACTGTCTCCTCACCCTACCCTACCCTACCCCCTACCCCCTCCCCATGCTCTTCTCCATTACCTCCTTTCCCTAGATCATTCCCTCCTCCCCCCCCCCCACCTTGTTTCTTGCCTTTCCCCCCTTTCTCCTTCCTCTTTTTTCTATCTTTCATCGCTCCATTCACCTTCACCTTCACCTCCTCCTCCTTACTTTCTTCTCTTTCCCCTACACCCTCATTTACCCCTACCTCCCTCCTCCCCTTCCTCTCTCTCCCCCCTCCCCCCTCCCCCTTCCCCTCCCTCTCTGCTTTCTCCTCCTCCTCCCTTCCTCTTTTCCCTTCCTTTACCCCTTTCCCTTTCCACTCTCATCTATCCCCCTCCCTCCCCCTCCCCCCTCCCTCCCTCCCCCCACCCCTTCCCCTCCCCCCCACCCCCCTCCCTATCAGCGAGGAGCGTGAGAAGACGATCGCCAGCGAGGGGCGAGGGAAACGCGATATCTTTGCGAAACGGATTCACAATCGGGGGCAATGGGGGGATAGGGAGGGGGGGAGGGAGGAGGTGGGAGTGGGGTAGGGAGGAGGTAGGGAGGGGGATAGAGAAGGGGGAGGGAAGGGGTATGGACGGGGGCAAAGAGGGGGGAGGGAGGGGACGTGGGGTAGGGGGTAAGGAGAGTGATAGGGAGGGGTTAGGGAGGGGGAGGGAGAGTGGTAGGGAAGGGGGTAGGGGGGACTGATAGGGAGGGGTGTAGGGGGGCAATGAGGGGGTAAGGAAGGGGGTAGGGGTTAAAGATCAGGTCGGATGGCAACACCAAAAAAAGGGAGGCAATGGGGGAAAATAAGAAATAAAGGAAAGGGGTGAAATGAAGAAAAAGGGAAAAAGAGTTTTGATAAAAAGAAGAAATGGGGGAAATGCGGTGGGAAAGCGAGAGAAGTGAATAAAAACGGGGAAAAGTGGAAACAGATAAAAGTTTAGGGCAGAAGTATAGCGGGAAAAAATAGAGAGAGGGAGGGAGGGAGGAGACAGAGAGAATATAATATACAGATGAACATGCAAGGGACAACGTAGGCAAAGAAAAAAACAAAAAACAAACGTGTATCAGACAAAAAGAAAAAAAAAACTTCGCTTCTCAGAAAATGTGATACGCCATGAAAAAAAAAAACAGACATAAAAAGAGAGAAAAAGGAAAGAAAGAGGAGAAAAGAAAAGAAAAGAAGAAAAGAAGAAGAAGAAGAAGAAAAAAAGAAAAGGAAATATATCTTAGACGAGAAAGGAATCCCCAGACCCAGTCAGTGTGATCAAATTAATCCGATCGCAACGAAATCAAAGCTAATCAACCACACACACTAACCTCATTACCACGACATCAAATCCCCGTCAGAGCCTTTCCTTCGGCCCGGCAGATTAGCGCACACACCTACACGCACACGCACTCGCACGCACACTCACCCACCCACCCATCCACACACCACACACACACTTCTCTCTCTCTCTCTCTCTCTCTCTCTCTCTCTCTCTCTCTCTCTCTCTCTCTCTCTCTCTCTCTAACACAGGCAAAGACACATTCACACTCTCACACGCATCCAAACACACAAACACAAACACACACACACACACACTCTCTCTCTCACTCACAACACACACAAACACACACATTCTCCCTCTCCCCCTCCCTCCTCCCGTCTCTCTCTATCCTTCCCTCCCTCTTCTCCTCTCTTCCTTCCTCGCTCACTCACCGAACCAGACAAGAGACAGAAGCAGAGAGCAGACAGACCGACCGACACGAACACAGAGGAACCGCCGTACACATCCGTGCCATCTGCGACCACCTGCCTCGCCTCTCCACATGCCACCGTGGGAATTTCGGGACTAATTACCTCCCCCTTATCTGTACCTGTCTCCCCCCCCTTCCCCTCCCCTCCCTTCCCTTCACCCCCCACACTCCCCCCAATGAACTGTCAAAGCCGCCTCTTCTCCGTCGCGTAGGCTGCGGGACCTAATACCGCAATGGCGCACGAGAGGGGGTGGGGGAGGAGGGGGGAATAAGAGGGGAAGGGGGGGAGGAGGGGGGAATAAGAGGGGAGGGGGAGGAGGGGGGAGAGGGGAAGGGGGGGAGGAGGGGGGAATAAGAGGGGAAGGGGGGAGGCAAGGGGAATAAGGAAATGGGAAGAGGGGCAGGGGGATAAGGGAAAGGGGGGGGGCAAATTAAAGATAATTCTGACGGAATCTTTCGGTTAACCGCGTGATCACCGGCCGGAAATTTCACGTAAGGGGACACGCCTCAGCCTATTTCTTCTTTTTTTTATTAGTTTTTTCTTCTCTTCTTCCTCCTCCTCCCATACATGTCTTATCTATTTCCCTTCTTCACTACTTCCTAATTTCTCCTAACACCCCCCATCTCCTTGTCTTCCTCCTCCTTCCTCCTTCCACCTATTGATCTTATCCTCTTCCCTTTTCTCTTCCTCTTCCTTCCACGGCTACCTTCTCCTCCTCCTCTTAAAAGCCTCTTCCTCGACCTCTTCTATTCTTCTTCTTTCCTGCTCCTCTCTCCTCCCTCCCTCCTCCCTCTTCTCTCTTCTCCCTCTTCCTCTTCTCTCTTCTCCCTTATTTATACCATTCGCCCTTCTTCCTGTTCGCGTTTGGAATCCACGAGGTCGTTCGGTTTGAGGTTCCGGGTTGCTGACCTCTTCAAAAGGGACAGGGGGAGGGGGGTCGGCCTCTCTCTCTCTCTCTCTCTCTCTCTCTCTCCTCTCTCTCTCTCTCTCTCTCTCTCGTCTCTCTCTCTCTCTCTCTCTCTCTTCACTTCCTCTTACCTTTCTACTTCTCTCTTTGCTATCCAGATCTACCTCTCCCTCCGTCTCTCTCACTCTCCTTCCCTTCCTTCCATCTTTTCCCATTTATCTCCAACTTTCCTCCCCTAACTCCCCCCCCCCCCCTAAAGTGCCCAACCAAGTGCACTGCCCACCCACGAACCGCCATCCTTAAGACCCTCTCCCCTCCTCCCCCCCCCCCTCCCTCTCCCATTTTTCATTGCGTCAATACAAACAAGGTCATTAACCCCCCCCCCCCCTACCCCCCCCCCCCCTTCATGACAGGTCAAACAAAACACCCTAAGTCATATCCACGTGTTTGCGAGCTCTTCCATTTATCTCGGTTTCCTTTCTCTCTTTCTCCTCTTTCCCCTTTCTTTTTTTCTCCGTCATTTATTTCCTTTCCATTCCTTTTCCTCCTCCTCCTCCTCCTCTCCACTGTCTCTCTCCTATCCCTCAATTCTCCCCTCCCTCCTTCTTCTCTCCCTTCTTTTCTACTCCCTCTTCGTTCCTCCTTCTCCCCCCTCTCTCTCCTTTCTCCCTCTCTCTCTCCTCCCTCCCCCCCCACTCCATTCCTCCCCAATCGCTAAAGTACCGACTTCCTTCTCTACGGACATACAACCCATTACCACTATCACGCCCGTCGTTATATCCGCCCATACGCCCGTCATCCCGCTTTCCTTCCACCATCACTCCTGTTATCAATGTTACTTCGCTATCAAAATCACCGCTGTTCTGATTGCGAAATTTTGGACTTGCATGCGACGGATCTAGAGGTGAATGGGCGTGTGGGTGGGTGGGTCGAGGAGATAGTTTTCAGGTTGGGTGGATGGGCGGCGGTGGGCGCGCAGGCGGGGGATGTCATTGTGCGTGCGGTGCGGGCGGGCGGGCAGGTGGATGTTCAAGGTGTGGGCGGCGCGTGTGGGCGTGCGGGCGGATGGATGTCGGTGTGGGCGGGCGTGTGGGCGTGCGGGCGGGTGGACGTCAATGGGGAAACTCCGCGGGTGGGCAAGCACACTGTGGGTATTGATCCCACTCTCGGTCAACCGTCAAACCTACGCCGCCCACGACCTAAAGCTGAGGGATTACGGGGGGCCTCCGTCCACCCCACAAACCCACGCCCGCGGGCCCGCACGCCAAACGCAGTGCACAACAAAAGGAAGTTCAAATAAAATAAATGAATAAATTATAAACACACACCACAACGATCAATTCACCCTCCCCCTTTTTCCGTCTTTCCTCAAACGAAGGAAAGAAAAGAAAAAGAGGAAAACAGACAGATAAAAAAGAACAAAAAAACACAAAGAACAAAAAAATAAATAGCGAGAAAACAAGAAAAAACAAAGAAAGAAAATCCCTCCCTTCTTGAGTCAAGAGGCGGCACACAGACGGCGCTCACCCCCCTTCCCCCTTACCCATCCCCCCGGCCCCGCTCTCCCCGCCCCCGACGCCCCCGCGACAGGAAGGCGAAACGGACATTGGAAAACGGAAACCACTCACAAAGGCGGCCGCAGAAGAAGAAGAAAAAGAAAAAAAAAAAAAAAACTTATTTGGGTCCTTGGGGTTTATTCTTCTACCTCGTTTTAGCCATCTTTCTGTGTGTGTGTGTGTGTCTGTTTCGTCCGTCTACGTGTCTATCATATCATTATTTAATCAATTGCTGATATCTTATGCAAGTTATTTATTTATTAATGTAAGGGGGAGGGGAAAAAAAATGACCTCCATTGACCTTCTCTCTTCTCTTCATTCCCCTGCTCATTCCTCCCTTCCCTCCCCTCTCTTCCTCCTATCCGCCATTAGGATAGGAGGAGGCAGTCTCGATAAGGCAGAAGAGACAATCGCAAAAGAAGGAATGAGGTAAAGAGGGAAAGGGGGTGGATAGGGGGAGAGAGAGAGGGAGAGGGAGAGAGAGAGAGAGAGAGAGAGAGAGAGAGAGAGAGAGAGAGAGAGAGAGAGAGAGAGAGAGAGAGAGAGCGAGAGAGAGAAGAGAGGAGAAGAGAGAGATAGAGAGAGAGACGAGAGAAGAGAAGAGAGGAGAGAAGAAAGAGAGAGAGAAAGAGAGAGAGAGAGAGAGAAAAGAGAGAGAGAGAGAAATCAGAAGAGAGCAGAACAGAGAAATCAGATAGAGATAGATCAGAAGAGAAAAATCAAAGAAGAGAAACAAGCAGAAATAGAGAGAGAACGATAAACAAAAAAAAGCACATCCGTACTCACCTGTAATAACGCCAGAGCGAGTAAGGCGACGCGTATTCCCGTCATGGCGAAGGCGCTCTGGTCCAGCTGATTAACTACCTGCGGGAGAACGAGAAAAAAAAACATGAGCGAGGTTCCATGAAATCTTGATAAGGGACGATGTATATTCTCGCAAAAAAAAAAAATAAAATAAAATAAATAAATAAATAGTAATAACAATAAATAAAATAAATAATAAATAAGTATAGATAATAATAACTAAGGTAAATAAAATAGATAATAACAAAATAAAATATGATAATATCAATAAATAAAAATATAAAAGATAAACAAGTAAATAAAGAATATCAATAAACAAAAATAAGATATTAAATAAAATAAACAAATAATAATAAATAAAAAAAACAAAAAAATAAAATAAAATAAGCTTATCATCATCATACAACAAAACGCATCGCCCAAAAAGGGACACGTTAGTCAATTTTCAACAAGACGTCGATAAAATGCAAATATAAATTCGTGCCACATAAGGGGCCAAAAAAGAGACACCAGAAGAAACGCAAGACCATTTTTCCCCATAAGAAATTCAAGAGAAAAATAAAGTATAGAAACCAAACCAGATCAAGAAAAAAATAAAAATATAAATTAATCTAAAAAATATGCGAACCAAGACAAAAAAAAAAAAAAAAAAAAATCAAACAAAATCCAAGAAAAAAAATATACGAAAAAAAAGATAAATAAGATAAATCAATAAAAATCCCAACAAGAAAAATGTACGAAACCAGGCCAAGACGAAAAAAGAAGATAAACCAATAAAACAACAAGAGAATAAAAACAGGATACGAAACCAACCCAAGACAAAAATATGCAACACCTTTATCGAAACCCGAGCTCAGTCCTTCGCTATCTTTCCAGTTCGGCTACAGAGAAGGGGGAGGGGGAAGGCAGGGGGAGAGGAGGTGAGGGGGAGAGGGGAGAAGGAGGAAGGAGGAGGAAGGAGGGAAGGAAGGAAGGAGGGAGGGAGAGAGGGAGAGGAGGGAAAGGAGAGAGGAGAGAGAGGAGAGAGAGAGAGAGGAGAGAGAGAGAGAGAGAGAGAGAGAAGAGAGAGAGAGAGAGAGAGAGAGGGAGAGAGGGAGAGAGAGAGAGAGAGAGGGAGAGAGAGGGAGAGAGAGAGAGAGAGAGAGGAGAGAGAGAGAGAGAGAAGAGAGAGAGAGAGAGAGAGAGAGAGAGAGAGAGAGAGAGAGAGAGAGAGAGAGAGAGAGAGAAGAGAGAGAGAGAGAGAGGAGAGAGAAACGAAAACAGATTGGGTGTCCTAATTATCAAGCTTTTTGTCGTTTTCCATTCGCCGTGTATCCAGGAAATTTCACGAGGACGTGGGAGAGAGGAGGGGAGGGAAGAGGGGGAGGGAGAGAGGCAAGAGGCGAATAAGCATAATATTACACAAGAGAGAAAAAAAGAGAAAAAAAAAAGCGAAGCGGTAAATGGATGTGGACGGGAGAAGAAGAGAGGGAGAAAGTGAGAAATAGAAAGAAAAATGAGAAGAGCAAACGCAAGAACAAAAAGGAAAGAAAGAGAAAAGAAAAGAAGTGCGGCAGAAAAGAGAGAGATATTGAAAAGAGAATGAGCTGGAGAGAAATATAAAAAAACGGAACAGGCAGAACCGGAAAAATAGAGAAATAGATAGATAGATAGGATACACAGAGGGAAAGAAAGAGAGAGAGCAAGAACCGATAAAGAGAGAATAGATATATGAAAGATAGATAGCAATGGTTAAAAATAAATGTGCTAGACATCTATAGATAGAAAGAAAGAAAGAAAGAAAGACAGAAAAAGAAAAAAAAAGAGAACGAGAGAGAGAAAGAGGCAACCTCAATAGAAACATTTCCCCGCCCGCTCCTTGGCTCCCCCCCCCTTTCCGTTCACGCAATTAACGGCGCGGTATTATTATTCTCCAATCTTCTCCTTTTTACATGATCGATCGCGAACTTGCACTGAATAACACAGGTGCCCGATTGGAGGGAGGGAGGGAGGGAGGGAGGAGGGGGGAAGGAGGTAAGGAGGGGGGGAAAGGGGAAGGAGGAAGGGGAGAGGGGGAGGGGGAGGGGGAGGGGGAAGGGGAAAGGAGGAAGTGGGTAAGGACGAGAAGTAAGCGAGAGCGAGAGGAGTTGGGGAGAGAGAGAGAGAGAGAGAGAGAGAGAGAGAGAAGAGAGAGAGAGAGAGAGAGAGAGAGAGAGAGAAGAGAGAGAGAGAGAGAGAGAGAGAGAGAGAGAGAGAGCGCAATATCCGAGGGGAGGGGGAGGGGGCAAATGCAAGCCACCGCCGGGACGCCCACTTAAACGTGATTACAGAGTGGATGATGAAGTTAGGAGGAAGAGGAGGAAGAGGTCGAGGAGGAATGAGGATGGAGGAGGAGGGAGGAGAGGAGAGAGGAAAGGGGGGAAGAGGAAAAAGGAGGAAGAGGTCGAGGAGAATGAGGAATGGAGGAGGAAGGAGGAGGAGGAAGAGGGAGAATAAGGAGAATTGGAGGTGGTGGAAGGAACCAGGTGAATGAGGAGGAAAAGGAGTAGAGGAGGGGAATGAGGGAGGAGAGAGGTGAAGGAGGAGGAGAGGAAGAAAAGGAGGAGAGTAGGAGAGTGGCGGAGGAGGGAAAGAACGAGAAGAGGAAAGAGAAGAGAAAAGAGGGAGAGGAGGGAGAGATCAAGAAAAGAAAAGAGAAAAGAGGGAAAAGAGGGAGAAGGGGGAGGGTTGGAGAGGAAAGAGGGAAAAAAAGGACGGTAAAGAGGATCGAGAGGAGAGGCACGAAAAGACCCAAGAATAATCCTTTTCATACTAAATATAGATCCTAGCGTTTCCAGGGGCAAGGCACTCATTCTTTCCCCTTTCTTCTTGCGGTCCTAGAGAGAGAGAGAGAGAGAGAAGAGAGAGAGAGAGAGAGAGAGAGAGAGAGAGAGAAGAGAGAGAGAGAGAGAGAGAGAGAGAGAGAGAGAGAGAGAGAGAGAGAAAGAAAGAAAGAAAGAGAAGAGAGAGAAAGAGAGAGAGAGAGAAGAAAGAGAGAGAAAGAGAGAGAGAGAGAGAGAGGAGGAGAGAGGAGAGAGAGAGAGAGAGAGAGAGAGAGAGAGAGAGAGAGAGAGAGAGAGAGAGGGAGAGAGAAAGAAAAGAAAGAAAGAAAAGAGAAGAAAGAAAGAAAGAAAGAAAGAAAGAAAGAAAGAAAGAAAGAAAGAAGAGGAGAGAGAGAGAAGAGAGAGAGAGAGAGAGAGAGAGAGAGAGAGAAGAGAGAGAGAGAGAGAGAGGGGGGGGGGGGGGGGAGGGGGGGGGGAGTGTTGTCTCAGAATATAAACTGCCAGGTCGTGGAAAGGGGTGGGGGGGGGGGGATAACTGGTCTCCCCCCCATACCTCATTCGTTATCGCTATATAAGGATGGAAGGAAGAAGGAAAAGAGGAAGGAAAAAAATAAAGGAAAAGGGAAGAAAGACAAGGAAAGAAGGATGGAAGGAAGGAAATAAAGGAAAGCAGATATGAAGGAAGGAAAGAAAGAAGGAAGGAGGAAGGAAAGAAGTAAAGAAAGGAAGGAAAGGAATAGGAGAAGAAAAGAAGTAAGAGAAAGAAAGGAAGGAAAGGAAGAGCACCTAGGCCTCTTCCTGCAATCAGATCTAATCTGGACTCAGGTCGATCACAATGAAATTCTCGCCCGTTTGATCCGATACTGCTAGGAGGAGCCTTCTCTCTTCTCATCTCAATCGCTCTTCTCTTCTCGCTTCATCTGCGGTCCAGACGAGTGCTCTCTTCTCTGATCGTCTCTCTCCTCTTCCCTATTTTTATAGTCAAATGTGTGGTGTTTCTCGTCTTACTCATTTACTTATTATTCTAAAAGAACCAAGAGATCCGAGCCGACATAAAACTGAAACACCGGAGAGATCCCCGAAGTGCCGTAGACAAGCCGCCTTTCTGGGCATTCGGACGAGCGAACACCCAGCCGACGCCGCCAAAACTCGATTCCCGATTCGACGGAACCGAACGCGGCCTCGGGTAGACATACCAGGCCCGTTCAGTGCCACGAGTTGCTTGAGTGCGCACGGTGGCCAGGTGTTTAAACCCTATATGAACACCCCAGCCCTTCCCCTTCCGCCCCTATCCTTCCCATTTCCCTCATGACTCCTTCTTCCTTCTTCCCTTCCCTTCTCTCCTTCTCCCTTCTCATCCTTCCTTTCTTTTCCCTCCTTCCTTCCTTATTCCCTTCCCTTCTTCCTTCCTTCTTCCCTCTTCCTTCCCTTCAGCTTTCTGTCCTGCTCCCACCTTCCTTCCCTTCCTAATCCTTCCCTCACCTCCCACTCCATCGCACCTCCCACCACCTATCTTCCTACCCCGCCCCCCCCCTCTTCCTTGCGGATAATCAAAGGCTTCAAAATCAAGCCCGATAATTCATCCTTTCAGAGGCGGACGTGCGTAAAACATTATTGGAATTATTCTACACGAAGCGGGCGAGCGAAATGGAGAGAGGGAGAGAAAGACACAAAGCAATAAACGGGGGGAAAATACAAATTAACTGGGTGAAAGGGAGGGGAGAGAGAGGGAACAGAGAGAGAGAAGGGAGAAAGGAGAGGAGAGGGGAAAGGAGGGAGGAGAGATACATAAATATAATAGATATATAGTATATATATATATATTAATAATAGTAGGAGAGAAGAGCAGAGATGAGAGAGAGTAGAGAGAGAAGAGAGACGAGAGAGAGAGAGAGAGAGAGAGAGAGAAAGAGAGAGAGAAGAGAAGAAGGAGGAGAAGAGAGAGAGCGAGAGAGAGAGAGAGGAGAGAGAGAGAGAG